ATACATATATATATATATATATATATATATATATATATATATTCTAATGGTATTTATATTCCGATAATATTAAGCGGTAATATAATTAGTAGTTAACAATATGGAGTATGAAAATAAAAAATAATTGATAATTTTTTTTAATACGAGTGTTTTTTCCTTTTCTTTTTATATCCAGTATTTAAGTCCAAAACATATGTACGAGGGAGGAGAAACATCAAAGGATGCAATGCAACATATGTCGATGGGATACTTCTTTATTGACTAGAGATTTCAGATTCGGACTTTTAGTATTAAAAAATCATTATAAAAGAATACTTCACTTGAATAAATCTTGTATATGATTAAATTCTAATGCAAACATTAACAATAATTTTTTTTTAAAAAAATTATAAATATAAAATAACGTCATTTTCTTTTAATAAATTTAAAAAACATCACATTAAATAAATATATTTGAGTTGCCCTTTTTCATGTAAATAATATATATATATATATATATACTTATTTATTTTGTATAAATATCGAATATAATTATGATAAATATTTGAGAGAGTGACTACTCACTTGTGACTCAACCAAACACCAAAGAACCATTTGAAAATGATTATAGTGGTGGAGCCACCCTTATCTAATTAAAAATTATTATTTTGCTAAAAGTTTACATTACTTAAATAAGGTAAAAAATATATTTTATGGATATATATTATTTTTAATTTTCTTTTTTATCTTTTTAACTTTTCTCAATAAGTAGTTACACTCTTTGTATTTTCATCCCTCCGTTTTATGTTTTCTTTAAAAAAAAAAAAACATTGAAACACAAATTTTATAATAGAACATTTTCAAAGAAAAAGTATTTGAAACAAAATTATTAAAGGTGAATATTCGAAAAGCATATATTTATCCAGGGTTATATTAGTCATTTCGAAATCTGGTGAACCTTTTTATTTTTCTAACCTTGTGCTAAAGGAGCTCATAGTTTTTAGGGTACACAGAAATCCTAAGGCATCACAAAAAGTGGGTGGACACCAGCAGATTGCATCCACAAGATTTTTTTTATGTTTTTTATTTTATTTTTATTATTACAAATATTGCTTTTTTTTTAAATTAAAAAAATCATACTTTTCTCCTTAATCAAGAGATTTCGAGTTCGAGTTCGAGTTCCCTTGAGTATGAAATTGCTTTGTTGGAGAGTATTTTACTGGGATTTTTCGATGCAAATTCAAATTTAGTCAGGTTTCATGTGGGTACCGGATAAGGAAACCAAAAAAAAAACTTACAATTTGAAACGATATTTTACTTAAACGTGTTTTTAATTTAGACTCAATTTATTTTTCTGTATTTCAACTTTGAGTTTGTATGAATAGATATTTATTTTTTTATGAATTGAACAAGTAAACATTATGTGACAATTCGCCTTGTACATTGCGTCCTATGTATATTATATCATATTGAGATGTTTTGCTTTCACTTGTTTTTTTTTTTTTATGTGTTAATTTGGATATATCTAAAGTTGACGATCGAAATCAAATATCATGTTGGATTCATATGATTAGATACTATTTTTATTTCACCTTTTTTAGTTATGTTGTTTACGGACTAATATGATTTGTTACTATTTTCATTTTATCTATCTCGTTATATTATTTACAAATCATTTAGTATCGATACGAGTCTATCAAATTTTCATCTTATCTATCTTGTTGTATTATTTGCAAAATATGTTAGATTTGCATAAATTTGTATCGTCATTTATTTTATATTATTATCTGATTCAATTATTTATATATGATATCGAATTGATATAACTTAGTAATGTCTTCGATTATTTATCAGTTATACAAATGTAAAATTATATCGTATTAATTTTATTTTATCTATTTTGTTTTAAATTTGTATATCTTTATACTAATTTCATTTTGCATATGTGGTCTAATTATTCAATTTATTACTAGTATTTAACAACTTATGATTTGTGCCACAGTTGACAATTTTGCAAGCAGGCGGCAGCTAAGCATGAAGCATTGTGAATCACATTGTTTATTCTTTTATGACATTAATTAATTGCTTCTGACCATTCGAGAGAATAAAACGTTATATCGACCATAGTCAATATACATAAACATTCTACCTTTTTTATACAACAATAATTGAGACATTTTTTATAGGGCAAACTATATAAATTTCACTATAGCATAAATCTTAATTACTCAGATTTTCGATAGTTTTAAATACTATTTTCTTTATTATATTTCATACTTAGGATACATGAGTTTAAACTCAATAGATACATGTATCTGTCGAATTTGAAAATCAAAATACATATTTTATTTGTTTAAATTAATTGATTGTAACCAATTTTCTTAATGTAAGGCGGAAGTCAAGGAGTGTATCTATGTTTAATTAATTTCATTTTATTATTATAAGAAATAATAAAATCGTTAATATTATTTATAAAAGACAAAAACATGTACATTTTGATCATGCAATTTTATGAATTTCATTTTATTAATTTTAAAATAATAAAATTTATTAATTTTTGATGTATCTATTAACAATATATGTTGTATCCGCCTAACAGAACACTTAGATATATGAGTACCATACAAATAGATTCATATGTACCATAAAAGTATCTATTATTAATGTCATGTATATATTTATATGATATAATATTAATTTCATGTATCTTTTTATATGATATAATTTTAATTTTATGTATCTATTATTAATTCGATGTATCAAACATCAATTTTATATATTATATTCAAAAGCATGTATTTCAGTTACATAATAAACACACATATAATTATGTATATCTAAATATGAAATGTAATTGAAACAAATGAGTTTAGAAACAAATCACGATTGTGGAGTATTTGTATTATCATTAATTCAAAAAAAAGTTTTAAAAAAAATCAAAATTCTCTATGTCTGTGAATAGATACATGAAAATGGTATCAAATAAAAATACATCAATCGAAAAAAATGAATAATTACACCTATATATATATAATGTTGTTTCTGTAGAGTTGAGTATGAAATTTGTATATCCAAATATGCATTGAGTTCGTTGAGAATAAGTGGTAATGGAAGATGAATGATAATAACGTGTGATTTGGGAGGAAAACGGTGGTGTTGAAAAGAGATAAATTAACTTGAATTAAAAAAAGTCTTCATAATTAAGGAAACATAATGTCATAATGATTATTAATTACCATATTTAATGTGATTGTGTATCTATTTTTTTATAAAAAAATATGGTATATTTGTTAAAAATGGTAGTATTTGTAATATTTTTGAAGCAGTAGGATTATATGTATCTATGGTACGAAAGTATGTCTAAATAGTTTTTCCTTTTTTTATATATCAATAATTGAAATATATAACTTCATAAAAATATTAATTATTTTGAGATGTTGAAACAGTGGTGATTTGAACCTCTAAACCAACCACTAATCTTATATTCAGGAGGTTCAAAATCAATATATAAATATAAAAATTCTTTAAAATACCTTAAATATACAATGTAATTTTTTGCCACTTAAAAAACCTACAAAAAATATTAAAACAAAATTAACCGCCCACCGTGGGGCTCGAACCCACGACCACAAGGTTAAGAGCCTTGCGCTCTACCAACTGAGCTAGACGGGCTTTTGTTTTTTATGATCTTGTACAATTTGTTATAACCAATAAAGAATTTGAGCTCGTTAAGAATCAAGTGACTTCATATGATGAATCTTTGCACCCATCACAATTAACACGCATTGATCCACTAGTCAACAGATATATAATAAACCATTAACAAGATTCTTGCCTAGTCAGGGCATTTTCAGTTTTAAATACTTATACCAACTGGTGTCTACACCCCAACACATTTATTTTTATCATACTGAAATGATTTAATGAAGTGTAAATATGCGTAAATTAATTGATGATCATGTATATAAACACACGATGTGAGTAAGTTTTTACCAACCTTCAATTACCTCAAAAATGGGGTTTGGGAGGGGAACACAAAAAGGAAGAAATATAACAAAGAGTAGAAAGTCATTAGAAATAAAAGAATTAACATAACCCAACAATTAACTCCTTTGCCCTCTCAATATCATCAATCCAACATGAGAACAAAAATACAGAAAATAAAGCCAGAATATAACACTACAATTGCATCTCTGGTCCAGTAGGAAATAAGAAGTCTTTTCCTTTCACCAACATTGTCAATCTTGGAAAAATTAGAAGCACTTCCTGTGGACAATAGAGGGACCAGATTCGTCATACTCTGCCTTTGCAATCCACATCTACAGAAAATAAGAGAAGCAGAAAACACCGTCAGTAACTGTCAAACTTCTAAGTAGGATAGACACCCAAAATAACAGCAAAGTTATAATAGGCAGAAGGGACAATGCAAACCTGCTGGAAGGTGCTGAGGGAAGCCAAGATAGAGCCTCCAATCCAGACACTGTATTTCCTCTCTGGTGGAGCGACCACCTTAATCTTCATGCTGCTAGGAGCCAATGCAGTAATTTCTTTGCTCATTCTATCAGCAATACCTGGGAACATGGTAGTACCACCACTGAGCACAATGTTTCCATAAAGATCTTTCCTAATATCCACGTCACATTTCATGATAGAGTTGTATGTAGTCTCGTGGATTCCTGCAGCTTCCATTCCAATCATTGAAGGTTGGAAAAGGACCTCAGGACACCGGAAACGCTCAGCACCAATGGTGATCACCTGCCCATCTGGGAGCTCATAGCTCTTCTCAACAGAAGAGCTGGTCTTTGAAGTCTCGAGTTCCTGTTCATAGTCAAGAGCTATGTAAGCGAGCTTTTCTTTCACGTCCCTGACAATTTCTCGCTCAGCTGAGGTGGTGAACGAGTAACCACGCTCGGTCAGGATCTTCATCAAACTATCAGTGAGGTCACGTCCTGCCAAGTCAAGACGGAGAATGGCATGTGGAAGGGCATACCCTTCATAAATTGGGACAGTGTGGCTGACACCATCACCAGAGTCCAACACAATACCTGTGGAGAAGAAAAAGAATTAGAAGTAATAACTCAATTGATAACAATCATGTCAAAATTAGAAGGTTGTAACTTATAATAAGTAAATATATCCACAAAGCATCATATAAGTGCAAGATCTTTACAAGGTAGAAGCATCAAGAAAGTTGAGAGATGTCAGTCATATAAAGTAATTATGCTAATAAAGAATGAAAATTTTCTTACCGGTGGTACGACCACTGGCATACAGTGAGAGTACAGCCTGAATAGCAACATACATAGCTGGGGTATTGAAAGTCTCAAACATAATCTGGGTCATCTTTTCACGATTAGCCTTTGGGTTAAGAGGGGCTTCAGTTAGGAGGACAGGATGCTCCTCAGGGGCAACACGAAGCTCATTGTAGAAAGTATGATGCCATATCTTCTCCATATCATCCCAATTGCTGACAATTCCGTGCTCAATTGGGTATTTAAGAGTTAAAATACCTCTCTTCGATTGAGCTTCATCTCCCACATAGGCGTCTTTTTGACCCATACCCACCATCACACCAGTATGGCGGGGGCGGCCAACAATACTAGGAAATACAGCTCGTGGAGCATCATCTCCTGCGAACCCAGCCTAGATAATAAACCAATATAAGAATCTCTTAATTTTCTAAACAGAATGGGCCAAAAGGTAATAAGCATCAGTAAAAAAATGGCAGGTCAACTCTGCTGTAGTACAAAACACTGGAGCTTACCTTGACCATTCCAGTTCCATTGTCACAGACAAGGGGCTGAATATCCTCTCCGTCTGCCATCTTATGCTATTCCTGCATTGAAAAACGAAACCACAGTAAGAAATGTATATGTCCAAAAAATTATCATCTGATACTGATATCTTTATTCCTTATACGAGTTTTCGCTATTTGTAAATAACAAACAAGTTTAAATAAGCTGAACACAGAAAGTCCCACATATTAGAATACACCTTATGAGATGTTCATATACTATTCCTTCAGTCAAAGGTTCCTATTACTTCGAACCTCTATTTTTTCAGTCTTCCGAGAAATATATTCTCTCTTTGCACGGATGACAAAGTAAAGGCTCCGCACATAAATTGAATAATAGTATGTTAACAATTACAGATATTATTATAGCTATCGATAAATCAGTGCATCAACAAATAAGTAGAATTATGTTTCACAGCATCAGAGATTTTGGGCATATTAAATCAGCTCACGAGATACACTAACAAAGTTGGTTTGCCATGGATAATGGATAACTGATATAACCATCACCAGTTTTTGGTGGATTTTACATTTATTAGGTTGAATAGGTACAGTGTACAGCTTTTTGCAAGCCTTATAACTGCACACGATCCATAATACATAATGCACTTCAAGTTTCATAAAATTTACCCACATAAAACTCAATAGCTTCTATTTCACACAAAAGCTACAATGAGACTCAAATAAACCACATTATTCAGATTCCATATTCCCCCAAATCCAGTGCGTTATAATCATTAGAATAAACGGGATAATCATCAAAGGCATCTGTAATGTTCTATTTCCCTAGGATCATCAGATCAAATTGAAACAAATATCACTATTAGATTTGCTTCTGCTGAGCAATTCCAGAACTCTACGACATCATCAGTTAACACACAAAGTTACATCACATTAATTCAATAGTACATAAACTCTCAAAAAGTACTCAGCAGATCCAACAAAATCCTAGTAAAAGAAAGAACAACTCTGTTTTCATGGATACTTGTATCTATGCCATACTGCAAAATCATGTTCTAAGCTCATCCAACTTAGATACTATTTTCCATATAATCAACAAGGGAAGATTAATACGAATGGATCTATGGATCAAAAACATAATTACTACAAAAATGGATCAATTACACCTCAATATCATATATATAAAGATCAAAAAAGCGAGAAAAGGCTATTGAAATTGTAAAATGCAGATGCATTATAACTTTTTCTCGGAACTAGGAATCAAAGAGAAAACCGTGTTAAGAGAAAAAAAGGAAAGAAAAAAAACAATTATCCTATCATGGATAACAATATCTAATGCCATATGTGCTAGCTAATTCAATTTTAATACTATTTTCCATATATCAGCTAACAACCAATACCTGAATATTCCGATTAACAGATCTATGGATCAAAAACATAATAATTACTACAAAAATCGATCAATCACACCTCAATATATAAAAAAAAAGGAGAAAAATAATTCAGTTTCCATGGATAAACAATATCTATGCCATATATACAAAATCCATAAATATGCTAGCTCATTCAATTCTGATACTATTTTCCACATATCAACAAACAATTAACACCAAAATATTCCGATGAACAGATCTATGGATCGAAAACATTATAATTACTACAAAAATGGATCAATTACAACTCAATATCAAACATTATTACCATAAAAATGCGAAAAATACCGATGAACGGATCTACGGATCGAAAACACAATAATTACTACGAAAATCGATCAATTACACCTCAATATGAAAAAAAATGCGAAAAAAATCGATTGAAATTGTAATGAAATGCAGATGAAACGTACCTTTTTTCGGAGAGAAAATTGGTAGAGAGATGAGGAGAGAGAGAGGGGGGGGCACACACTAGCAAACAGTCAGGGAATGCAAAATGTGGAAAAGCTCTCTTTCTTCTTCTTCTTCTTCTCTATTCTAACCTTCTCTAAGAGAAAAATGAGAAAACAGGAAGAGTATATATTGAAGATTTGAGAAGAAATGTGAGCCGTTGGATCTGTGATGAAATGATATGAGTGACAGTCAGCATAACACGTCGTGGGAAGCTATCATTACCTCATTACTCATTAGTGGTTGTCACACACTGGCATTTCCCTATTCTATCGCTTTTTCCTTCATTTTTTTTTAAAAAAAATTTTGCTAAATAAGTACTAATATTAAATCAAAAAATGAAATTTTTAGAATCAGAAATAAAAGGAAAAAAGTATTGAAAAAAGATAGAGGTGGATCGAAAAAGTATTAGGGGAAATGATTAAATAGTATTTGACACTATGTTTTTGATCAATGATATGATCTTAGAAATGAGGTAGTTTGAGTATAAATAGGTTACAAAATATTTTATTTTGTATAATAAATGAGTCATATTAACCTTTTACGCAATGATAGATTAGAATGAACGAACCACTCAATCGAAATTTAACATATAGAAAGTCTGTAAGTTCACCAGATGGGTGATGGTTCGGGCCCTTTGGACTCACTTAAGTTTGATACTTGGATCCAACATCGTGTACTTTATAGTTGTAACTTGTAAGACATTCGCAGTAACATCAATAGAAAACATAATCATAATTATGAGTAACTTTCTTCTTACTAAAAGTTGTGTACACTTAACCCTTGTAGTCCTACCTTTTCTGAAATAGACTTTCGTATAGCAAAAGCTTAGTGCATCAATATCGACTATGGACAAAATAGAAGGGGTACATGCACAAAGCACAACCTAGTATAAAACATAAAAAACTAAATTTGGTTTCTGTGTTGCTGCTACAAAAGAAAAATCTGTCAAATACAAAGGGAAGAACAACAATTTCATAAAATTTATCAAAACTTAATTGAATGGAAATAAAAGATTATTGATTCTCTGCATCTTTCTGCTTGATTCCATCTATGCTTTCTATAGGAGGCAGAGTCTGCAATTCAACGATAGAGCAAATATTATAATATGAACCAAGAGGAAGAAGTATGAGCTTGTAAATAGATGGTATATAGATAAATACAAGATGAAGATTTCCTAGAAACGTATAACTAAAACCAATATATTTCAAATGAAAAACACTCAATTCATCTAACAAACCAATCTTCCGAATAATGATATGCTCTCAATATTCGCAATAAGGATGAGCGATGTTTCAATTTGGAATAATGTCACCAAAAAACATCAAACACCTTGTATTAGAGAGTATTTTTCTTGCAATTCGTTGCCAAGATTCAACAAGTTCATGTAGGGCTAGATATCTATATAGTGCAGACTGTAGTGTCAATATCAACTATTCATCCTTCATGCCCACCCCAGTGACACTACAACAACATATCCACTGGAATCCCACAACTAGAGTTTGGGGAGGATAGTGTGCACCCAGATCTTACCACTACCTCGTAGAGATAGAGAGGTTGTTTTGGAAAAACCCTCAATCGAGTGCGCGGTAAATCCAAGAATAAAGCAGAAGAAAATAGCATAGAAAATATAGGAACGACCACGGTGAACCAATAAAATAGTGCGATAATTGAAAACAGTAATCAACTGACGGTGCTGCGAAATATCAAAATTAAGAACTACAATAATACCAGGTGATAACAGGTACAACAAACCAAAGACTATATGAAAAGGCTAGTAATACGACAACCCCTAACTACCTACTAACTGTCTACCCTTATCCACGATCTCCATATCTTTCCATCCAAGGTCATGTCCTCGGTAAGCTGAAAAAAAGCACTATATCTTTTCTAATCACCTCTCCCAATACTTCTTCGGCCAACCGCAACCTCTCACATCTCCTCACCGGGGCATCCGCGCCTCATCATATGCTCAAACCACCTCAGTCTCCCCTCCTCATCTTGTCATCCACGGAGGCCACTCCTACTTTATCTCGGATACCCACATTCTTAATCCTATCACTCCTAGTATGCCCGCATATCTATCTTAACATCCTCATTCCTACCACTTGCATCTTCTAAACCTGTGAGTTCTTGACTAGTTAACACGTAATCCCATATTACAAAGCCGGTCTAACCACCACTTGGTAAAACATACATTTAGTTTTGGTGGTACATCCATGTCACAAAACACGCTGGATGCAAGCCTCCACTTCATCCATGCTAATACGATGTGTGACATCATCATCAATCTCACCATTTCCATGGATCAGAGACCCCAAAGGGTCTCTTAAATGTATCTCTCTTGGGGACAACTTGTATGTCAAGTCTCTCTTCTACGCCTACCTCATGTTTCACATCACTGAAACATATTTCTTAACCTGTTTGGAGTTTAGTGGTTATGAACATTGAAAGATACCCTCATAAGCTTAGTGGGAAGGATACTTTTTTTTTCATTCCACCCACAAGGCACACGTTTTTACTTTTTCCAACTTAAGTTAATTTGTATTTTGAGGGTGGAGTAATATAAATATATAGGTATAAAGAGGTACTTAATTGGTGAGTTTGTTTATCTCATCATAATGCTATGCATAGTGCTTTATATAATCCTGTACTAGTCCAAAACCCTGCCTGGTGCACTTTATTCCTTCTCTTACTTCATTATTGTTATTCTAAATGGATGTTAAACAGAAATTATTTATTTTCTCCACATGCAAGTGAAATTTTGGCTTAAGATTGTCAAAGGTGGTGGTCCATAGAATGTGTCTACCACATCTTCTAGCACAAATGTTGCTGCAACTAATTCTTGTGGAGGTCCATAAAACTTTTGGAATAAAATTGTGTATCTAGTAGAAGGGTACGGAAGAAAGAATTCACTTGTTCCTACACTGTAAATTCACTGCCCAATTGCAGAACATGTTTTTCAGTCTCACAAAGACGGTGTGGACAATGCCTGAACATACAGCCGATCTAATGAGTTGTTGGATGAAAAGAGAGGGAAGTAAAAGTCAGAAAAAATGGTGGAGGATAAGCCTCTCTTGCATATGGTGGTCAGTATGGAGGGAGAGGAATGGAAGGTGTTTTGAAGACAAAATCAGATCAGTACATGATGTGAAATGGAACTGCCTGGAGACTTTATTTTTTTGGTGTAAACAGAACTGTATAGTAGAATTTCTAGGAGCTTTGCAAGGCTAGAGTCTATTTCCTTTGTAACTTGTTTCTGAAGGTGGCCAGCATTCCCAATGCTGAAGAATACAACATTACTAATCTTCAAAAAAAGAAAGGATTCACAGCTGCTCTGAAGGAAGAATTGAAGCACTAAATACTAAAAAGTTTGGAACACAAAGCACTATATACTATGATGAACTTCAGTTAAAAGGGAGACAGGTCATTTTTACCAATTTTGTATGGAACTAGCAATTAGTTGATGCTGTTCAGTGAATAAAATCCCAACACAGATCACCCACCCCCTCTTTTTCTTGTTCTCTTTTTTGCAAAAGAAAACAGTTAAAGTGGATAAAATCTAGAACAAAGAAGCCTCAAATCAAAAGGTCGCTAACATACCCACAATCATCTCAAATTCCTTAGTAGAAATCAATTTGTAAACTACAACTTATTGTTCGTTTGCATTCCATCTGTGTGACCATAAGAAAAACTGATTTATCCGAAACAAGCAGCATTCCTTCAATTCATTTGGAGGAGGGTGACCATTTTGAAAGTAAAACTGCGGTATCACATAGAATTTGTTTTGTTCGTAGACATCACATACCCAAAGAATTTTTCAACTTTTAGTTGCCTTATGAAAGAGGTCAGGTTGTGCACATCTATAGACGCAACACGCTTCTTATAGTTAACATTTCCCGACTGGCACTATTCATTAGAAAGCCACATTCAAAGGAGCATTATATCATCCAGGTAAAAGACGCAGGACAAGGCCACACTCCTCGCTTAGTAGAAAATACTACCATGCAATACACCTAAATTTCAATAGGTACTTTAATAATGCTGACTACAATGCCAGTCTCATTTTGCATCCTGCATTTACATTTTAATTACAAATGAGCAGTCAAGCATAGGAAAAAATGTGTACTCATACATTATACTATACCCCACAAAGTTTTCACTTTTATAGCTAAATATAGTCCAGATATGGCACAATTTGTCTTAAACCAGCACCATTTATTGAATAACCAGATTTTCAAAAGGGCATTCACTCAAACAGGTAAGTGAAATAGAAGAACAGCCAGATCGTCCACCCTTGCCAGATAATCATATCACTAATAACACGACTAAATGTCCAAATACTAATGTTGTTATACATCAAACACCAACTTAAACATACTTTCGACAGCATAAGCATCAAAATCTTCACTTACGAAGTCTCAATACCAAAATAATTCAGCTAAATAAATTCTCACCAGTTGGTACAAACCATATGAATTCTCAATATTGAATCCACTTCATTTGGGCCCATATCATTCTTATATCATTTTTTTCTTTTTGCAGGACAAATTATGGGTTTGTAAAACTGAAGCCAAAGTGTAAAGGGAAAAAGTCAAGGGGGAGTAACCAGATCAGGTTTGAAAAAGTTCTGGACGCTGTACATCATATACCCAAAAGTTCTTTGCTGGCTTTACAAAGGAAGTCAGCTTGTGCGCATCTAGAGATGCAACCCATTTATTAGTAGTTTAACATTTCCCAACTAGGATCATTTATAATTAAGTTGCTCACACTCTACAAAAACGTTGCTCACACTACATTTGAAGGATTCGATACACCCTGGTGACATTTTTGAATAGTCAGATCAACATAGATAATAAGATGGCCATAAACTCAACAGGGACATTATATCTAACAAGTAAAAGACATAGGAAAAAAGACCACAGACTTTTCACACTTGCTAGAAAACATGCAAATTAATACATCTAAAGTTCTAAACTATAGGAAACTTCTACACTCATACATACTATACGTTATAATAAATCCAATTTTATAACTAAGCCTAGTTCAAAGATGGCACAAATATGTTGTTAAACTAGCACCAGTGATTACATATCTGTAATTTCATAGAGACATTTTATCAAACAGGTAACACTCCACATAACAAACTTGCTGACCTCATGAGCATATTATCATATCTATATTCAAACAAGCTGGATCAGCTATGTAAGTTTTCAACGATTGTTACAAGCCGTACAAATTCTCAATACCGAATCACTTCATTTGAGTCCATATCACTTCAATAATCAATCAATTTTTGGGGATTTTCTAAACGTAAAAACGAAATTGAGAAACAGAGATTACCAGATCAGGTTTGAAAAAGTTGTGCACAACGGAGGCACCAGCAAGGAGAGAAACAACAACAACTACAGTCGACCAAGCCATTGATGGAGTTCCTGTTGGCGGCTTCCCACCACCGAATTTTCTGTTCATTTTTTTTCTTTTATCAATCAAAAATTCTCCGGTTAACGAAGATGAAAATGGAGTTCTGCAACTATAGAGTGTATAGAAGAAGAAGAATCAACAGTGATAGCAAAATAATAATAATAAAAAATCTGAGTGAACAAAATTATTTAACAAAATTAATTATTAAAAGTTTTTTTTACTCGTTAATGAAAAAATGAAATTACTATTTTAGCTTTTTTTTTAAAGTAAATAACTATTTAGAGACTTTTAAGAAAATTGTGCTCGTTTCAAATTAGTTGTTGTGATTTTGTTTACATGGATGAAGAAATAGATGTTGAGTCTAACTCAATTTCAGAAGTTAGTTCATGAGGAGAGAATAAAATTGTCTAAAATTAATTTACGAAAGGAGGATTGTTGTTATGTTTTTTTTTTTATTATCGATAAAGAAATGGATGTTGAGTCTAATTTATCCGGAAACTAGCTCATGAGTGTAGAATATTGTTGTTATGTTTTTCTTTTATATCGATAAAGAAATGGATGTTGAGTCTAATTTATTCGAAAACTAGCTCACGAGTGGAGAATTGTCCAAAATCAGACATCAGAAAAAAATTGTTGTCATGTGTTTTCTTTACACTGATAAATCAATAGATCTTGAGTCTAACTTATTCAAATTTTAGCTTATGAAGAGAGACTATGCAAGACTATATTAACACTCGCAAAGAAATGAATTTTAGGTGTAACTCAATCTCACCAATTAACTCATGGAGATGATTTTGTTCTAAAACTATATAAATTAGGCCAAATAACAATCACATAAATAATTTGAGATTTCAGCACTCACTTAAAAACTCGTATATCATGTTCTCATTTCACTCAAAAACTTATATATATTGTTTTCAAATTTCATATTTTAAATTTGACATTGAAATCACAAACCAATGTAATAAACAAACACTTATTAAATTAATTCTTAATATTATTTTAAAATTTTGAAATACAATTTATGAACAAACGTATTCTTCGAAAAGATCTATTATTATTTTTTGTAAAAAAAAATCTTATCGGTAGAAGTTACATGATCACGTTCCTATGACTTTATGAAATTGTTAAATAGCTTGGGCATCCTTAAAGGCTTGAGTTAGTCGCAATGTAAAGCCCTTAAAGTGAAAGAATTTTCTTTCATGATTTGATATAAGATCTGATTAAATTAAAGTTTATATTGAAATTAAAACAATTCAAATAGAAATATTATTGTATTTATATGGATTTGAATTTATATTTGACTAAAAAAATAAAATTATACTTATTAATTTATCACAATCTTAATTAATGGTTTATAATTAAGATATAACGTACCATAAATTATAATTAATTTCGTGATAGTTTGGATCATTATAGCCTTGCAAGAGGGATTTAGTGGACCAATTCCACTAGAAAGTGACATATAATTGAGATATTTGATCCTCCATGTAATAATGGCCACATGTCTCCTCTAAAAATGGAATTATTGGCTAGAACTTTTTTTATATTCGGAGTTTCATTAATATTGAAGTCGATTAACTTTAAAATTATATTAAAAAGCTATACTAAGAAGTACCAATTACTCTTGTTGCACAAGAGGATCGAAGAAGGGAAAAAATAATAATCACAATTAGAAATAATTTTCTAAATAAGTATGTCAAAAGTTTACCTTTCGTTTTGCATGACTTTACAAGTTTGATTCTTTATTTTATGTAAAGCTTCGAAAATTGTTAACTAATTCGAACTTAAATGAGTTTTAAAAAAACAATCAAGCTAGCACTGTAATAAATGAGTTCACATGAGGATAATAAAAATCTCACACGATCAATAAGATTGTTGAAACGTTATCATTATACAAGATCCAAATAAAAGTATATATAGAATTTAACTTTAGACAATTAATTTAGTCATTAAAAATCAACTTTATTTTGAAGGAATGGTCTAAGTATTTGTTTATTTATTATAAAAGAAGGGGGGAAAGTTCTTTTCTTTTTAAATAATAGTATCAACATTTTAGACCTTAAATTAAGCTACTCATTTTTTTTATATTAGTGAACAAAGTTTGTTATAACATAATCCAAAATCATGTATTACAAATACATGTCTAACATTTTATTAATTTGAATTAAATTCATTTCCTTTTTGGTTAAACTTAAAGATTTGTGTATTCTACATATACTACAACGTTACATTGCTAATTACTTAAATTTAGGATTCGTCTCTCCCTTCTCTCGTGGTGATTCAGTTAAAGCTATTAAAGTTATTATGGTCCGTCACCTAATAGTATTGATTGATGATGAGAACTAATACCAGAAATCTATAATTACTTTTGATGATGATAAATAAACCACATACACAAAAAGCAATAGTAATTTTTGATGATTACGAGTGAACTAGGTACACAAAAAGCAATAGTAACGCACAGTTATAATGGTGATCAATATATCAAAGTTAAATAAGAAAGGAAACAAGGTTATTTATGTAAATAAAGGGCGTAGATTTTTCTTCTCGCATAGAAATCAAAAATAAAAGACAAAATCTTTACAGAAAAAGGCTTTCTAAGTCAAAAATAAAATACAAAATCTTTTCAGAAAAAGGCTTTGTCTTCACGCGTATAAATCGATAAATAAATAAAAAAATTTCACATTGAAGACGATGACAGAAAACCTCTTTATTATCAACATTGTAGATGTCGAAAATTGCATGAAGAGCGTCTATAAAAATAAAGAAGCCAAGAAAATCGTTTTTGCAATTCACAGAGAATAGAAGAAAGCGAAATAAAGAGAGAGCAGCAGCAAAAAGATTCTTGTGTGAGTTTGTAAACAATTTGAAGAGTGAGAATTTGTGAGTTTGTAAATAAGAATTGTGATTGGCTTCTTGTGAATTGATTAGATCGATTATAGTTAATCGATACTAGTTGAGATTTGTGATTGATAAATTGTAATTGAAAAAATTTAAATAAAATAATAGTTGAGTTTTTCCTTCCTTGAGTGAGGAAAGTTTTCTATAAACGTATTGTTTTGTTTAAGCTCTTTCTTAGGCAAATCAAGAACCTGGTTCTTGATATAGGGGTAAGGTTTCTTCAATTGGTATCAGAACATGTCTTTTTAATAAAAGATTAAAGATTAAATTACAGCACCACCTACCCCACAAGAAGGAGTTTCTCAAACACGACCATCATTGTTCAACGGAAAATACTATGGATGGTGGAAGAACCGTATGATGGATCATTTTATAGGATAAAATCCTAATATCTGAAGCGTAGTTTTAGAAGGTCATACAATACCCATGAAGGGAGCAGTTGGATAAACAATAGTATCAAAGAAGAGAAAGGAATGAGATGTGCTGACAAGCTTGCTATTCAAAATAATGCCAAGTCTAAAAAAACCTTGATTTGTGGTATAGGGCCATATGAGAAATAGGATCTCCCCTGTCAAGATGCTAAGTCATTTTGGAAAACTCCGCAGACCGCACACGAAGGAACTACTCAAGTCAAGAAATCTAAAATTGACAACTTAAACAGACAATATGAACTATTCATGATAATGGCGGAGAAACTATTCAAGACATACAAGCTAGGTTCACATTAATTATCAATGAAATTTACTGTCTTGGTGAAATAATTCCCAATGGAAAAGCTGTCAAAAAATCCTGAGTGTCTTACCTGGATCATTGGAGAGTAAAAATTGAAGCAACTATTGAAGCGTGTGATCTAGACAAACTACCCATGTATGAACTCATCGGAAACCTCATAACATATGAACTGAAGAAAAATCAAGAGAGACAAATAGGCAGTAAAAGAAAGGAAAAGAATCTAGCTCTAAAAACCATCGCATTTGAAGATTTTGAGGATGAAAATATTGCACTTATGACCAAAAGGTTCTCCGAAATGCTAAAGAGAGGACAAACATTTCAAAAAGAAAATCCTCAAAAGAAGAGAACATTTGTGTCATAAGTGTGGAAGTATAGATCCCTTTATCAAATTTTGTCCACTCTGAGCCTTGGAATATAAGAAAAACAATCCAGACAAGTCAAATGAGGAAAAAGTGACGGATTTATTCCAAACAATAGAAGAATGACAAATCAAAAGGTTGTTGATCGCATTTGCAGCCACGTGGAGTTCAAACATTATCAGATAGATGTCAAAACTGCTTTTTTAAATGGCTATTTTCAAGAAGAAGTATTTATGAAACAACCCCCTGATTTTGAGGACCCAGCTAACATAGAACATATTTACAAACTGGATAAACATTATATAGGTTGAAGCAAGCCTCACGAGCATGGTATGGTCGTCTATCCACATTTCTTCTAACACATGGTTACTCACGTGGGAAGATAGACAATACACTATTCCTTCAAAAGCAAGGCTCAAATATGCTCATTGTGCAAATCTATGTCGATGATATTATATTTGGAGGGACTACGCCTCACTTGGAGTCGAGTTTGCTAAGTTAATGAGTAGCGAACGGGTCTTTCAATGTTAATAATATGGGTGACATCCCGACCCTGAGTATTACAAAAAGGGGAATTTATAACCCTATTGTAGATTGTTTTGTTGGCATCTGACTGAAGTTCATTCTTCAGACAAGCTGGTGCGCTATCAAAAATATTTAGTTGTCCCGTGTTTTTAGATGTCATATTGTGTTTTTCATGAGTCAACATGACTAATTTTCAAAACTATATTAGATTACATTAATTTAATATTTTAAAATAAAAAAAAATAGATATTTAAAACTATATTAAAACATTATTAGTTACATTTTTTTCATATCAATATATTCAAAAAAATATATCTTAAAATATTAATCAATTAAATCCATAATGTCTGACACTACAAAAGAAAATTATAACAACTAAAAAGGACCAAAAAAAAGTATGATAGAGGAGTTAAGACTAGAAAGTATGTTTAAAAATGAAAGACGTGACAAGAACCCTACTTTTAAACACATAATGAATCATACACATGAACATATTAATAGTTAAGAACTTAGCTTCAGGGTGTGTTTTGTAAAGCAGAAATTGAGTTTCAAGATTTAAATTTATATATTTTTCATATTAATTTTAAATGAACATACAATAATGATATATAATTGAACTAATAATCAAATATTTATTTTTATATATATAAAAAAGGTTTTGAGCAAAGTTAGTGGGTTCCCATGAACCAACAAACAACGTGAACAAATGGATCAAATTCAATACTCAATAATTAAGGTGTTTAATTAAACACAACAGATTTTCACTTACTTAAATCATATTTTACAAATTCCTTTGCTAATGAATATTCACAAGTTTATCATAAATTTTACTATTTCACCACTTAATTATTCATATCTTGTGTATATTAAATTTGCACTATTGAAATAGTTATACCTATAAAATTATTCTATAACGGGACACAAAAAGCATACTTTGCAAAATACAAATTACTAGAATGACAATATACATGAAAACACCAAATACAACACAATTCTCAAAACAAAAATTACATAAGAAATTAATAACAACACAATTCTCAAAACAAAAATTACTTAACGATATAGATACAATTTAAATACAAATTACAACCCAACACTATATGACTTGACCCAAATATATTACAAAAGAATCTTGAAATAATCTCTCAATTAAATCAACCCACTTGAAAAAAAACTATTTTTTTTTATATTTTTATTTTATATCAAGCTCTTTTTGGAAGATTATAAGATGAAAAAATAGATGAAGCAGCAGAAAAAAAGAATCCAAAAAGACATAGACTGGCTGCAGCATTTGAAGTGTTGAGAAATTTATCCATATCACTGTTTGTAAGTCTCCTCAATTCTTCTGTCATACCAAAACTTGCTGCTGCTCCAGTAGCAAGAAAGTAGGAAATAAACTGCACAACATAAATAAATAAATTTATTTTTTCGAAATATATATGCTGACAGTATAAAAAAAATACGTACTTGTCACTATAATTACATGTAACGGGTAGAAGATCTCGGTTCTAGAGCTAGCTTTAGATCAAATCTTATATTATTATTTTTTTCTTAAAAAAAAGGGAATTTTAACATTTTTAACTGACGAGCTTGAAAGAATTTCACTCGTATAATTGTAATAGATTTTGGTAGTACATATATAACAAGTGTATAATCAATGTATACAGTATACTAGAAAAATTTATTTGATAAACGAAGATTAGAATTTGTTTTCGTTAATTTCAAATTCTAATACATAAAATTGAAATTCTAGATTCGTTATCGACTATATATAGAAAAACAAAAGGGTAAATTGATTTACCTTGTCACCATAGAAGTCTAATAGACAGAGACCCTCACCACCTAGTCTATTTCCAGTGGTCACAAAGAAAATTGAAAATGCAGTTTGGAGAAGAGTGTATGCCATTCCAATAACCACACTAGAAATCAAATATCTGAAAATTCCAAAAAAAATAAAATAATAATAAATAAATTAGACTAATAAAACTCATTAGTTTTGTCGTGTGAGCTTGCTTGCATTGTCGGTTTCAAATTCAAACAAATGAGGAGGGTTGTGGTAGATCGGCAGCCAACATAAAATTTGTCAATTCATGATGAATCCTCCTAATACAGAAAGTATGACGATGATGATATGAAATAAACTTAAATGATGAAATGACGATTCATATAATTGATTCCAATTTATTTGAGACGAGTTATTGTTATAGAATTAACTAAGAACATGAATCCCATCGAAAATATTTTTTAACGAACAAATTTTTATATATATATTTTATAGCAAAGTAGTGAAAATTAATTTTACCTGTATGCATAAAAGTTGGTAGACTTTGTTTTGATATTAATAAAATTTAGACTCGTAGTATGAGTGTTGGTGGCAATCACGATGAGTGAAATCAACAAGAAAATTAACGTAGCAACCCTCACAATAAGGCTAACAAACGGTGGAACAATAGTAGTTGATGGTAATGGTGGTGGTGCCATTTCACTTTTTGGTGAAGTATAAAAATTCTTATCGAATATAAATTATAATTATAACAAGAAGAAGTAATTAAAAAATTTTGATAACAAAAGGAAGGTTTTCTTTGTAGTGAATAATACTTTGAGGTATGTTTGGTTATATAAAGAAAAAAAAAAGGATAATTACAAAAAAAAATAAAAAGAAATTGGACTTTGTCTTAAGTCAAAAAATAATATACAACTCAAATTACATTTGTATTTTATAATTGATATTACTACGGTTTCCATATGTAGAGAGTTTACTTTGAATATTTTGATAGATATATATTCCTCGACTTATCCTAAATGACGCGTAAGTTGAAGAAGTATTTATAATGATGAATTTAAATAATATGATATAATAAAATTCAAATAATAGTTATAATGTAACGGATAATAATCAGTCAAATAAGGAATAAATGTTTGAATTTGAATGGGCGTAAGCTTTTAACTATTTTCCTTTTTGTATTAAGATTTAAACACTTTTTTTTGTCTGAATAAATCTTAGTCATTTAGATTTTAAACAAAGTTTTAATATTAATATTATTAAAAGGTAATTTTGTGTGGATAATTATTACAACTACTACAAGTCATCATCACTAATCACCTCTAGGCTCTATCATCAATATCATCGCCCCTCGATCATTTACAGTACTATTATAGTCTATTTCTATTGTATCAATTATTTTCATCATCACAAGTAATATTACTGTCCATTGCCATCAATAGATCATCAAGCACCACACATTCATCAGTTATCGCCAATTATTAACTAACTTCATTATCACAATCATCACCTGTCCTCATTATTATAACTATCATCATCATTATTTTAACCATTAACACCAACTATTAACATCATCATCACCATCGCTACAAACAATCTCCACAGTCTAGTAAATATAAATTTATTAATTTTTATGTAAATAATTATTATAGTTTTGTAGTATTTAGTTATTATTAATTTTAATTGTATATTTATTAGGCTTACAAATAAATAAATTGTGTATATTCAAATATTAAAAAATACGGTTAACTATTTCTCATTCTGATTTAGAGATAATATTTTAATCATTCAAATATATAATTAAAATTCATATATCATAATAGCATAGAGGATAAATAAGCTTAGTGCGAGCCCATATTATAATTACTTGATTAATCTAGCCATTTGGTTGTATTTATTTTTCATGAAACAGCTCATCATTCTAAAGTAGAAATATAATATTCTACTAATCCTAAAGATAGGTTTAATTTACTTATAAAATGAGGATTTTTTCTAAGAAAAAAAATGGGCTGGTATTTCATCGACTTTTGATGAAGATTAGTGAGGCTAGCCACTAATACCTAGTATTCCTCACTAAAAATTGGAGAACCTAACTATATTTAATTAAATTAAACGGATTAAAATAGGTTGAATTATAAAATAAATTGATCATTAATTCATATTAAAATTAAATAAATTGTACGAGTCATGATTATTGTATGATTGACTATATATATCGCTCTTACTATCGTATTTAACTATTAAAGCTTTAGATTTGATCGTTACAAATAAAAAGACTTACGATCAGCGTAAAAATATTTTTCTTTAATAAATTTATTTTGTGGCATAAATTTACATTAGTTAAGTGAAAGTTTTTAATTAAAAAAAGAAGTCAAATCCAATTATTAGGTATCATATCAATCATATTTCTTCGATTTAACAACACTTTGGTCTATCATATACAAATAATGATGTCAATCTCGAAATGTTTAATCAAAACACAATAGCATTCACTTAATTAAATTATATTAGTATGGATTCTTTTGCCTTTTTCCTCGTTATTATTCACAAATTTACTACTCTCTCTATCCCTAATTAAAATATAAAAATTAAATTAAAATATATTCCATCAAAAATATAGTAAATGCAATATCCGAAATTGAAAATCCTCAAAATAAAGAAAATACAAAAAAAAACCTTAAAATTATATAATAAGACTAATTGCATTACATGACACACCTTTGACCAAGTGTAAACCAAAAAAAAAAAAGATTTCATAATATTGCAACAATTAATTTATAAAATTATTAAAGTAAGATTTTTTTTTCCCTTTAAAATTAAGCTCTTTTTGGAAGATTATAAGATGAAAAAACAGATGAAACAGCAGAAAAAAAGAATCCAATAAGACAAAGACTGGCTGCAGCATTTGAAGTGTTGAGAAATTTATTATCACTGCCTGCAAGTCTCTTAAATTCTTCTGTCATACCAAAACTTGCTGCTGCTCCAGTTGCAAGGAAGTAGGAAATAAACTGCACAACATAAATAAATTAATTATTTATTCACGCTTAATATATATATATATATATTGATGATGTAAAATATATTTATATAATAATTTGTAAGTACGTACTTGATAAAAAAGAAAGAGAAACTTTTCAGAAATAGCATAGATAATAGACATAATGAAGCTATATATCTATAGTATCGGTGATTACATTCCATAGTTATAATTTTGCTTGTCATTTGGAGGCTGCAGTTTATATATTTAGATTGCCTGTGTTTGTATATTTTGTTTGCAAAAATATACAAACATTGTAAATATATACAAATAGAGACTGTGATTTGTATATTTCGCCTTGTCTATTTGTATATTTCACTTATAAATATACAAACAAAGTAATTTATTATAAATATCTCATAAATCATGTATAAATAATTAGGGTATGTATAAATTATCAATTTATATAATCGAAAATCAAATTATACAAATTTTGAATTTATACAATTAGGAATCAAATTATATGAGTTCTAAATTTATACAATTAAATAACCAAATAATAAAATATCGCAAAATTATATCCAAAAATTAAAAATAATCAAAATTTTAGCTATATTACATAATACACTCTAGATATTTTCCATTTGGTGTAATTTTCCATAAAACAATAGTACTTTAACTTAATTACTACTATTACGTGTTAAGCTACATTAATTATGTGACAAAATATTTACATGTTTGTAATTAGTAGAGACAGATTCATCGAAATTTCACTTGTCTAGTCGTAATAAATTGTAGTAGTACATATAACCAGTGTATAATCAATATTATACTGACAAAAAACATTTCAAAAAATAAATATTGAGATTGAATTAGTAGGAAAAAAAGTATTATTCTCATGTGAAAAATTTGAAAGTTTTTTATGGGTAAGAATATATTTTTCGCCATGCGTTTTTTTAATAAGTTGGTCCATTAAAAATAAGTCAAAAAATCTAGCACTGTGTTTGCAATGAAATTTCTAGAACAAATTTAGTACTGTGTTCAATGAGTTGGTACGATCTATGGTACAAATTTCTTACTGATTCGCGATGAAATTTCTATTGCGGTATTTCTATCTATTATTTTGGAGATTTATGATTCTTTTGTTTGTTCTTTTTTTTTTGTTCCAATATATTTTCTTTCTACTTTTTCAATATATAAATATAGGAAAAATAATAAAGGAAAATAATATAATTAAAGAAAAAATAATTAATTTACCTTATCACCATAAAAGTCAAATAGACAAAATCCCTCACCACCAAAACGATTTCCAGTAGTTACAAAGAAAATTGAGAATGCACTTTGTAGAAGAGTATATGCCATTCCAATAACCACAGTAGAAATTAAATATCTGCATATATATTTTCAGTAAAAATTAATCATAATGTATATATTGAATAAATTTCCAATAAAATATCAAAAGAATTTTGTGTTTTTTTTTTGGTAGTGATTAGAAATGAATATTACCTGTAAGCGTAAAAGTCATTAAACTTAGTTTTGTCAACGTTACCATCCTCATCAATAGATTTTTCAGTGTTGGTAGCAATTATGATGAGTGAAATCAACAAGCAAATGAACGTAAGAATCCTCACGATGAGGCCAACAAATGGTGGAATTGTACTGGTTATTGGTGGTAATGATGGTTGTGCCATTTGGAAACTATATTATACTAATAAATTAAATTAAAAAAATAATTGAAATTTGTTGATGCTAATTAAAGGTTTTTCTTCTTGTGATTGTTTATATAGAAAAAGGATAATGCATGGGGAAAAAAACGTTGACTTTGTCTTAGTCAAAAGTCAATGTGTACAACTCAAGTGCATTGTGTAATTGATAGAGTGATATTTAGTTTCACATGCAAGAGTTTACTTTTGTTTTTTTTTCTTTTCTAAATAATGTCTAATATATATTTTATCAATTTAGAAAAACTAAGTAAATTATTCATGTCATTGGTTAAATTAATTAATTCATGTTTATTGATTGAAAATTTGAGTTTCAAAAAAATTTAAATAAAGATAGAAAGGTAAAATTACATTATTTCTTAATGCAAGTGTAAAATAAAAAAATAATACATAAAATGGAACGAAGAAAGTACCGTACATTCTCAATCTCAATTGAAAGCGTATTTGCATGTCTCCATCAAAGGAATAAGCATGCCATTTATATGCGAGCTGATTTCGACAATATAAACATTAAAACGAAATAGGACTTTTAAAAAAATAAGGGGAAATGTATAAACAAAAATAACCAAATTAATATCTTCGTTTATTTTTTAAAAAATTATATACAAATATTCTTAAAACAATTTTTTCTTATTAATGCACCAAAATTTTTTAAGAAATTGAGTAAGAGAAACCTATTCATTTTTTGAAAAAATTAATTTTCGTGAAAAAACATTATATTTCGTATCAAACACGCTCTAAGTAACAATTACTTTAATTCGCAATAGTCTTGGAATGGAAATTTCCTAGTGAACACACTTGGTTTTTTTATTTTCTTAGAATTTTGTGTCATTTTCTCTTATATTCGTTGATTCAACAATTGCGATTCCGTCGATTACTCAATTAGTATTGACATGGAAAATAAGAAGTTGACTTAGAAGAATAAATTATCACCACTCAATTTGGACCAACATGCCAACATGTCATATTTATTTATTTTATTATAATGTAAAAACTTTATCTTAAATATTTAGGGTGAGATTGAGGTGTGAATAGCACAATAGGATGTTGATTATAATATTAGCAATCTATATAATGTTTTGATGAAAATTTTGAGTATTAAAAATTGATTAATGATGTCTAAGAGTATAATTGAGATAATTGTGAAAGAAATTAATTTATGTTTAAAAGTCGTTTTTTTATCATTTTTTATGGAAGATTATTTTTCAAGCATAATTAGAGCTCTCAAAATGGACTAGCCCATCCCATTCAGGCTAATTCATACAGGTTTTAATATTTTACAGGTCAGGTCGGGCTAGCCCATTTTTGGTTGTGGGCTGGA